CTCCATCTCCGAGCCTACCCGACCGCAAAGGACCACGCTCCACAGCGAAAGGGACCCTATCCAGGGTCCGGCACCCTACTCAGGGCCACCCCCGCCCTCAGGAGCCTCGCCCTCTCCGTACCTGCTCTCGGGCCCGCCTTTCTCCCTCCACCTCCCGCTGAAGGCGCTCGGCCCTCTCCTCTGCATCATCCGCCTGCTGCTGCAGAACCTGGATCTTGCGCTTCACCGCCTCGATGGTGGTGATCCCGGCCATGGTGCCCACCCAGCTGCTTCTCGCGCTCCGGCTCCTGCCTCCTCCGCTCGGCGTTGCAGCCGCTTCTCACCCCTACTTCCGCCTGCTCCTCCCTGAAATACCGGAACTCACCCACCCGCCCGGATGTGACGCCACCACCGCGGAGCCCGCCCACCGCCAGGCAGGCGGGAAGGCCTTCGACTGGAGGAGAGTCGCGGCCGGAGCGAGGGGCGGGGCCTCCTGGTTGCCCTAGGCGACGGCCTTTCCTCCGGCCAGTAAAGGGGGGCGGGGCTGGGAAGAGGGAAGGCTACCATGGTAACGGGGAGGCGCGTCACTGTCTAGCCTCTCCTGCCAGGCGAGCTGCCCACAATGAACGGTTCAGCACTGGGCTGCCCTTAACCTCCCGCAGGTGACCCCTCTTCCCTCCAATGCCTACTCACCACCGCTTACCCACTGGGGTACCCCGTCTCCTCTCCACGGAATAAACATCCTACTTCTGCTTCCTCCCAACTCACCACAGACTGCAAAAGTAGTTTGTAAGGAGAGCCTAAAAGACTTTCCGAGCCTCATCTTCAAAAGAGCCCCCTCCAGCCCTCCTGTCAAAGTCTGCTCAGGTAGGTTCTGTCCCATCTCTTTGAAGTCACTGAATGGAACTTTCGAAATGGAAGAGATGGGCAAGTTGGCAAAGTTCTCATTCTATTTGTCATCAGCTATGGACTTCAGTGCGCTATTTAGAACACCAATCTTCCCCTGTCACTTTTGAGCGCCAACATGCACCACCAATTAACCAACCTGCCATCCCCTTCACACCTTGCAGGGATTCATGACTTGGTAATTTAACCCTCACTTAGAATCCATCTTGTGGATAATGATGGAAGATGTCCTTATTAGGAAGGAATCCTCTATTACAGACCACTGCTACCAGATCCTTTGTGCAATAGCAAGATATGAGAACCTAGAAAACCATGCTATGGAACCAGCCTTCGTTCTCTGATATAACTTTCACCAGTTTCACCACCGCTGCTGCTTGTAGATACCCTGCCCCCAGGAAACTATTAAAGAGTTGGAAACTGCCCCTTAAGGAGTAGGCATTTGGTGCAGTGATAAAGTCACCACTTGGGACACCACATCTCATATCACAGTGCCTTGGTTCAAGTCCTGGCTACTCTGCTTCTGATGATGGCTCAAGTACTTGGGTCCTGAATTGAGTCCTGATCTCCTGGTTTTAGCCTGACTTTAGCCCTGGCTGTTATGGGCATTTTAACCAGGAGATTGAAGATCTCTGTTTCTTTCTCTCTCTTTATCTCCCCCACCTCTGCCTTTCAAATAAAATAAAGAAAAAATAGTCATTGAAAAAAAAAGAAGGAAAGCAAACAAGCCGCCCCTACGAGTACTGCCTTGCAGGATTTCTGGAAGCACCACAGTAAAGAGACTTGAGAATTTTATCTTTTCTCTTGTTTCTTTGTGTTCCTCCTCCCTTCCCAGTAAGTAATAATGATCAGCTCTCCTCTGGTACAGCTCTCTTTTCCCCTAGGGAATGATGACACGGAACAGGACTTAGACTCAAGAATCCTAACCCCTGAAAGGACTAATGTCCTCAGAGTCTGGCCTGAGGATGCCCCTCCAGGGACTCTGTGTTCCTGTCTCTTTCGTGAAATACTGTCCGCTCAGAAGAAACAACTTGGACAGACACTGGCTCAGTAGAGTAACCTGTGCCGTTCGATTTCCCACTCCGCAAGCTTTCTCCCACCCCAGGAACTGGGAAGAAAGAGCATGGTTCAGATTCCCAGTAAACTCTTCCCTGTAGAAATCTGACCAGAGGGACCTGGGAAGCAGAAGTGCGATTTTGTCATCTGGGTGCTGATCAGTAGGGGGCACTATTGCATCTCCCTGTGCCCTAGTGAAGAAGCTGGCCTCATCCTAGACCAGCCAAAGGGGTGTTGAAGCACCACTGCATTCCTGAGGTGGCAGATTTGAACAGATAATCTCCTCTTGATCCAGGGAAACAGATGGGCTGGCTCCCGGGAGCCTTTAGGAACATGATGCATAGGCGGCAAGGAGCCAAACAGTATTGTTTTCCTAGTGACAAACAATACATATACCAACAGGGTTCTGTCTAGCCCTGTCCCTTCTCTCCTCATCTCTCCCACCGCCTGTCACTAAAAAAGGGTGTTATGGCTTTGCACCTGACCCAACCAGTGCACTCCTCTTTCCCCGTGTCTCCCTAAACTGCTTCTGATTTCATCGTGGATTAACAGGGCCTGGTGTGGTTACACAATAATATAAATATACTTACTGCTGCTGAACTGTACACTTAAAGATGCTAAATTGGTAAAGTCTACGTGTGTGTATTTGCCAGTTTTAAGCTTGGACTGGCTTTGCCACACCTTCTCCCTTTCTTTGTTAAAGCAGTTCTAGAAAATCCTATACTTTCCAGAAAGGCTTCTCAGATAACCAGAACTTCTGTGTAAATGTGCACTTGTTGACTTCACCTCACTTCCCATTACAGCTACATCCAGGTAATATGCTCTGTTGATTTCTTTATTAATCTCAAAAACAGAAGCTGAGCCATTAACTCTCTTTGGATTGGACAGGGCAACCTTCCCTCAGCGATGCACATATCATGCTGCTAATGACCCTTGCTTTCTACTCTAATCCTTGCTCCTCCTCCTTATCCAGCATATCTCCCCATTCCTGAAAACACCTCATTTGCCTTCTTTGACCCTTTGGGGTCAGCAAACTTATTCTCTAAATAGCCAAAGAATAAATATTTCTGGCTTTGCAGGTTGCAGGTTCTCTGGCAACTACTTCATTGTAGAGAGAAAGCCAGTAAACAATACTTGAATGACTGAGCATGGTTATGTTCCAATAAAACTCAATTTACAAAACCAGGCTGTGGTGAGAGTTACACCACTGGCGGTCGTGGGCTGACCCCAGATTTGAGGAAAGAAGCTTTTCTTCCTGCTTCCATTTCAAACTTGCCTGATAAAATGTTGCCTACTGGCCACAACCTCCCTGTCCTACTTCTTGTTCTTATCCATATCTCTGAGGGTACTCCCTTTGAGGGAAAGCCAACAAGGGGAAGAGAAGTGGGATGAGGGTATGTTTAACCCACACTTTATACATTTAAATGGTTTTGTTGGATTCCTGTATAAACAGGAGGAAACTTCTTTCAAATGAATATATTGAGTAGACCATATCTAGGTGGCGATGTGTGTGTGTGTGTGTGTGTGTGTGTGTGTGTGGACAGCTCAGCATAGACAGAATTCATCCCCGGTAGATTCCTTTCTCTTCCTGATGATAGTGGTACACTGGTTAGAGCCTCTGTCATTCTCCCTCTCCCAAGATCTCAGGTTAGACTTGTTCTCCTTCTTGTTCTTGGAAACACCTCCTCAAGCCCACATCACTAGCTCCTTCAGCCTAGGGACTTCCACCAGAGAATTGTTACCCCAACATCTCATAAAACCCATGAGGATCCTGACACTGTGCTCATCTGTGAAAACGTCTATCCTCGTGCCCATACCAGAGAGATCCATCCATCTGTCCCTGGAACCCTGGGGAGGCGACTGAAGCTGGCCATCAAACCCTTGCCCAAGCCCTAAAGGTAGCCTATATTGTGTTTGTTTGTTTGTAATGGTTCCCACAAAGGGATAATTAATAGTTTGCAGAGTCTGAAACTTTTGGAAACTATACGTATATATAATGTATATGTTCAAGTTTGTGTTTCTAATTTCTGGCATCATATATTCAACCTTCACTGGCATCATATATTCAACCTTCACTGCTTCCTGGGCCCCTGGAAGTGGTGGGAACTCAAAGGGAAGATCAGAAACTTCCTGGCCCAGAGCCTGCACCTGAGGGTCTGAGAGTATGCGTGAAAGATACACTGTGTTCCTCTAAATATTCTCCAGAAGTAAATGTGATTTTAAATACACTCCTCTTTCCTGTTCGCTGTATTTTTCATCAGCTGGGACAGTCTCTTGTTGCCGTTAAGATTTCTAAGATACTTTTCCTCAAAAACAATTTTCCTATCTAGTCTCTCATTTACCTTTGCGTCAAACTTCAAGGTTGCAGATGAAGGAAAGTAGGTGATTATGAGATAATATGAATGGAAAAAGAGAATTTGTTTCCTTTTCAAATGAGAAGCCACAATGCTTACGGTCATAGGGTAAGGCCTAGCAGTAATATCTTTCCTCCCTAAGACTCCTGCTTCGTTTCTATTATAATCTATCACTCTGAGGACCTCTCTGCTACCCTGTGAGCAATGCTTCCGATGGCATCTCGCAGTGGGCACATGCCCACATGCATCAAGATAAATAAATCCATATAGGGCCAGGGTCGATGTGACCTCTATTTCCCATTGTGAAATCCGAGCTGGCTTTGTCGGGTAGTTGAGAGATGAGAGGTTCCCTATTAATACACATATCTATGTGCCAAGCCTTGGACAAAAAACCAAGAATGTGGCATGGGGGAGGAGATGGGATATGTGATAACTTGGAATCCTCTCCCTTTGTCCAGGTCCTAGAAAAGAGAATTAAACTCCCGGGCTGAGAGCAGGACAAAAATATGACTTCTGTAGGTCTTTAAGAAAGACAATACATGTTGTGATGAGGGCATATGTGGTCATAGTCAAAGCTGTATGTGAATATATATGCCTGTGTTCTGTGAACTCAGAAGTATGTACTTGCAAATGTTAGAGTGTTTGGAATTGAGTCGTATTAACATGAAGGTCTACGTGTGTGGATGAAACCCATCCCCTAATACTCACGTCAGCTGCCTTCTTCTCTGCCAGCTCCAGTTTCTCCTGGGCATCCTTCAGGGCTTCAGAATACTTGTCCAGCTCATCCTCTGTCCCTTTCAGCTTCTTCTGCATGGCCGCCAGCTCATCTTCCAGCTACAAGAGCCCAGAGAGTCACACACAAAGACCTCCACACACAGCCATACAGGTTCTTGGAGGACACTGAGGGGTCCCTGAGCCCCACCTCCATATTACCATCTCCAGAATGATCGCTTTCTCCCTAGCCACTTGCAGCCCACTGCCCCAGGAGTTCAGCCACGGCTCCCCATGTGACGCCATAACCTCTGACCCGAGAAAGGCCAAACCATCCTGGGTAAATATCTAAGTGATGCCTGGGATGCTGTTTAAAAGAAAAGAGACACTGCAGGCTAAACTCTTACCTTTTCCTTTAGCAGTTAGGGGTTCTTCCAAAACACGGTCCACATCTACTTAAATCCAGAAGACACACTGTGATGCAGAAGGGGCCACTGACTTTCCCAAGGTCATTTAGGTAGTGTGAGAGGTGGATGCCCTGCATGACCTCTGCCCCTCCAGGGAGCCTAGGGAGTCCCTTCCAACCAAAGCAGGGCCTGGCACCAGTGATCACTCCCAATACCAGGGAAAGACCCTCCATCCACGGTCACGGTCACCAACAGGTGAGCGAGCCCAACGCCGCTGCCTACCTGTTTACTTCTTTCTTCTGCCTGCTTCTGCTCCGCTTCAGCTTGCTCAGCACGGTCCAGAGCATTCTCCTTGTCCAGCTTGAGCATCTGCATCTTTTTCTTTATGGCCTCCATCGTGGTTGGTGGTGGGCTTACCTGTGAACACTGGAGAACTGGCAATGAGAGCAGGAGAGGAGGGGCTGCGGCTTGAGCACGCGGAGAGCTCCAGACTTGAGCCTTTATCTGTGCTCAGGGCTCCACCTCCTGTTCCTAATTTGGTCTCTCCAGATCCCTCCACCCCCTCATTGTTCTCCAGGGGGAACACAGGGTGAGATACTTTGATGGACTGACATCACTAGCCAAAAAAAAAAAAAAAAATAAGAAGAAGAAGAAAGAAAGGGAGGGGGTAGAATAGCTAAGGCTGATTTTAGACAATGGAAAGTGGGGGAGGGGAGAGGCTCTCTCTGACCCTGAAACTTTCTGGGCAGCTCTCTGGGTGTTTTTGAAGAGCGGGGAGAGGGGGCAGAGCCTGCTGAAATAGAGAAGGGCGCTCTGGCAGGTCTAGAATGCCATTGTCATCCAGAGGGTCGAGGTTGCCCTTCAGTGTCCCCTCACTCTCACCCGGGACTGCGCTAGATGCTGATCCCTGTCACCACTGGCTGAGCTGTAGCTTTTGATTCCTGGTATTCAGGGAGCTTGGGCAACAGTGAAGAAGGGATGTCACTCATGATCCTTGACAATTCCCCCAGATCCCCAGATCAAATTGCTGTGCTATTTTGGGAGTCTCTAACTGGCAGGGAGACATAGTTCCTCACCCCCTAAGAGTCACAGGAATGGAGTGAGAGCCGAGGGTGGGATCTGAAAGGCCATCCTGGAGCTTCCAGTGGGATGGGGAGAGAAACAGGGGAGGGCCAGAGTAATCCAGACAGCATCATGCCCTCTGTTCTCCCCTAGCGACCTTAAAATAGGACTTCAGTGCCCACATAGACCGAGGTTGCTCTTGCCTCCCTTCTTAACTCTCCCCCACCCCCAGCACCGCATCACGATCACTGTTCCCGGCTCTGTTCTCCCCAGCTTGGTTCCAGGCCATGCTCATTCTTCCACCCGGGGCTTGGTTACTGACAGGTGGCAATTGATCCCAGTACACCAGCAACATGTATCAGAGAATACGGCCGGGGAGAGGTGGGCACTGTTCAAGGTGACCAGAGCTCTCAGGGAAAAGTAGAAATGGGTCTTATTTGTCATTATGTCAAGGACAGTGAGTGTTAATACTAAGCCCCAGCAGTGGGAGAGCTGGGACGCCCGTCAGGACTGAGGGCACAGCAAACTGCAGTATACTCTGAAGTTTTTCCAGTCACTGGAGGACAGACTATTAGCCCACTCTTGAAGGAAGACAGAAACCAAAGACCTCTGCTTTGAAGACTAGACAAGGGAAGGGCCTAAGGAGAGGAAGCAGCAGATAATGGGGCTGGCTATGAATAAGGAAGAGAAAACTGCAAGGACAAGAGAAGATAAGAAAAGGAGATCCACTCCCTTCCAGTCTAGAGGCGCAAAATATCGGAAGATTTGATTCCCACATTCCAGCTCTGTCACACTCCCACACAACAGGCCTCCAGGTTAAGACCAAAATCCACACGGGTTGCAGCTACTGGTCTTCCTGGGAGGTTCTAGGGAGAAGAGGTGCAGTAAAAAAGGCAGGAGTCCCCGAGTTCCATAGGTTGAGGAACGAGGGTGATGCAGAATTGCCTACTGCTATAAGAATATGTTTGACATTTAGTTGGTTCCTAATTAAACAACCCAATATCAAACATATCACACAGAAGCAGGCAGGAGGGCTTTGCTGGTCCTCTGCCTTCCTCCCCACTGCAAAGCAAGGTCACAGCCGAGACCCCAGACACCACCTGTGTCTGGATGGAGAGCGGTCTCCCTGAGGAAGGGCACTGACCCCGGATCTTCACCTCCCAAGACAGCAGCTCTTGCGTGCCTGCCCTTCGTGCCATCGCTGCCCTGCTCCTCTCTTACCAGTGCCTGGCCTTTGCTGGATCACGTTGGCTAAACCGGGAAGAATAACTGGCAGGGATCCACATCCGGGCACCTACCCTGCCCCGGCGCTCCCACATGGAGCCTCTCCCCCTGACGACACGGCCCCAGCGCCCCGGGGATCAGCAGTGTCAGCAGCTCCTCCTCAGCTTTGCCACCTGCTCTCTTCAAGGCCAGTCCAGCTGCCCCGGGGCTTTCCGGAGCTGGGGCCGGGGGCTTGTACATCCTGCTTTGCCTTTGCAACAGAACTCCTGACCTTTGCAGTCCTCTCCCACAAGACTGCCGAGGTCCTCGCTGTGGTCGGCACCCTGGGCCTCTCCTGCTCTGTAGTGTGACGGATAAGCAGTCTGAGACGCTCCCAAAGTGCCTGGCTTCTTTCTTCCACTATCTTGGCCCTTCTCCCCTTCTCCCCATGTCCTCCAGGCATCCACCTTAACGTCGCCCTTGGATGTCCAGAACAGAAGAGCCACCTGTCTCATTGGCAGGCCCCAGCCTGAGGTCCAGAAGGGAAGACCTAAGGTCTCTCTCCTGCCTGGCAGAAGAATTCAGTATAAGGCTTCGGCTCAAGGGTGAGAGATGCAGCTCCCTCTGCCAGCAGGCAGCCCGAAGTCCTTAGGACTCCCCTCCTCTTCTGGGGCTTTTGGACGAGAACTCCCGGGCTGGCTTCTCCAAGGCCTTCCCTCAGAGCGATCCAGCCTGGTGCCTTTCTGGGGGAGCTGTGTTTTGGAGAGAGTCAGGTCTGCTGAATGTCCTGTGGCAGGCAGATGCTTCTCTCCACAGTGGCAGCAAGGAGCTGGAGTTATAGCTGCACTGGGGGGTGGGGGGCTTGGACGAAAGTGCGGGGGCGGCAGGACACTCTGCTTTGGCCCCCAGGCCTGTTCCATGTGTCCTTGTTCCCATTAGCTGGGACACCACCCCTCCTCCCCTACCCCTCCGGCATGCATGCAGCAACTCCACAATGACCTTGATCTAGATCGATACCTTGTCCCAAGCCCCAGTCAATGCTGGTTGTGTGGCTCCTGCCTTCCAGGGGAAGACTAACAAATGGGCATTCAGTGTCCGGGTTAGCATCTGTGGTATCTGCTTCTGCTCTTGTTCCTTTATGGCTCCTGCAGAGTGTGTGTGTGTGTGTGTGTGTGTGTGTGTGAGTGCGCGCGCGTGTGTGGAATTTTGATTTTCTCACCCTTTCTCCTTGCATGTGATCCTACAAGTCCTAGAGCCCTTCTCTGAGAACTTTGCCCACACCAGAGAGCCAGAGGCTGGGAAAAGGACCAGCAGGAGCTGAAAGACTTCAGTGTTTGAGACACCAGGGGAACAGAGGCAGGCTGGGAGTGCAGGGGAGGAGCTGCTGTCTTGGAAAGAGATGTTGGGTGGCGTAACGAGGGAGAAACTCCAGACGGCCTCCCATGAAAGCCCTTCAGCTCTCCTGGAAACACCGTTGTGCAGCCTTTCCAGACAGCACCGAGCCCATCTGAGCCACAAGGCCTGGGTAAGGCCAGCCCCACCGGGAAGAGGGGCTGCATGGGTTCAATGGGGTGATGTGATGTGATGAGAGCAGACAGAACAGGCAGAGAAGATGGGCTCTGCAGGGAGCCAAGCTGCCAATACTGGAGGCAGCCTGGCACTGACAAGCCCTGGGGTAAGAGGCCAAGGTCAGGGATCAAGACAGAGGGCATGGGGCGTTCTGCAGGTCCAGAGGGACAGAAGAGAGAGGAATAGAGAGACAGAAGGGGTTGGCGAGGAAGTGTGGTGAGAGGTAGGGGGCAGCCAGGTAACAGTGAAAATAAAAAGAGAAGGCCGGCGCCGTGGTTTAATAGGCTAATCCTCTGCCTTGCGGCGCTGGCACACGGGGTTCTCGTCCCGGTCGGGGCGCCGGATTCTGTCCCGGTTGCCCCTCTTCCAGGCCAGCTCTCTGCTGTGGCCCAGGAGTGCAGTGGAGGATGGCCCAGGTGCTTGGGCCCTGCACCCCATGGGAGACCAGGAGAAGCACCTGGCTCCTGCCTTCGGATCAGCGTGATGTGCCAGCCACAGCGCGCTGGCCACGGAGGCCATTGGAGGGTGAACCAACGGCAAAAGGAAGACCTTTCTCTCCGTCTCTCTCTCTCACTGTCCACTCTGCCTGTCAATAAATAAAATAAAATAAAAATAAAAAGAGAAAAACTATCATGGGATAGGAAAGCGTCATTACAGGGCAGTAGTTATTGGACATTTTGTGAGACTCCCTGGTGAGTGCTGTATTCAATCCCTCCAGCAGTCCCATGAAGTGGGTGTTATTTCCATGTTGCACGTAAGGAGATGGAACCAAGGCCACACAGCCGCAAGTGACAGAGCCAGGACTGAAACTCAGCTGTGACCAGTGCTAAAGCCAGTTCTAACAAAGAAGCCCGGGAGATAGACAGGAGGGAGAAGGAAAGAAGTGAAGGCTGGGAGGAGGGAGGGCTGGGGAAAGGCAACAAGTATGAAGTTACAGTTAACAGGAGAAAGATGGCCTGGTGTGCTACTGCCTTTGGTAGGGTGACTAGATGATAAAGCAGTGCATGGTTTTTAAAAAGCTACAAGAGGCCGGCGCCGCGGCTCAATAGGCTAATTCTCTGCCTGTGGCACCGGCACCCCGGGTTCTAGTCCCGGTCGGGGCGCCGGATTCTGTCCCAGTTGTTCCTCTTCCAGTCCAGCTCTCTGCTGTGGCCCAGGAGTGTAGTGGAGGATGGCCCAAGTGCTTGGGCCCTGCACCCCATGGGAGACCAGGAGAAGCACCTGGCTCCTGGCTTCGGATCAGCGCAGTGCGCCGGCCACAGCGCACCAGCCGCGGTGGCCATTGGAGGGTGAACCAACGGCAAAGGAAGACCTTTCTCTCTGTCTCTCTCTCTCACTGTCCACTCTGCCTGTCAAAAAAAAAAAGCTACAAGAAATGATTTTAATGTCCTCACCCAAAGAAATGTCTGAGGAGACAGATACGCTCACCCTGATTTGAATATTGCAGAGTATATACATGTATCGAAGTATCACATGGGGCCGGTGCTGTGACGTAGCAGGTAAAGCTATCGCCTGCAGTGCCAGCATCCCATATGGGTGCCGGTTTGAGTCCTGGCTATTTAACTTCTGATCCAGCTCTCTGCTGTCGCCTGGGAAAGCAGTAGAAGATGGCCCAAATCCTTGGGCCTCTGCACCCACGTGGGAGATCTGTAAGAAGCTCCTGGTTCCTGGCTTCGGATCGGCGCAGCTCCAGCCATT